AACAAAAAATCAAATTTTGGCTTACATATATACATGCTTACTCCACCACATATATTATTTCTAATGATTCAGAATAACTCGAGAGCACATAAAATCAGCAAATCCGATTGTACAACGTTTAGCTTTTGCTACTTTGTGATTTATTTAAAAAAAGTTGCAATATAAATATTTTATTAAAATATTGATAAATAGAGACATTATTCTGTGATATATTCATTTTTTCACCGACTATTTAAATTATTTTAATAAATTGGTTCAATCGGCTGATATTATATTAACATTTTAAATATATTAATAAAAATTGTGAAGATACATTACAACATTGTAAATATTTATTACAATTTTGTGTGGATACGGCCAAACCGACACTTTTGATCTGACTAAGCAATCATATTTTAATTTATAACGTTCAGTAATTATATTCAAAAATAATTAAAATTCTAACGGCACAAAGCCTTTCAATCAATAAAATTTACTTTATAAATCTGCATACATGCCTATAATACTTTCAATATGGGAACATTAGCACAATGAACTAATGCATATTAATGTAGAGCCAGGAAAAATTTACTAGCAATTTCCAATGCCGTCAACATTCACTATAATTTTATGATTAATAGTTCTTTATCGGATAGGATTATATATGTTACAATAATAATATGTGGATTTAGTGCAGTTTAATAATTTTTAGAGACTTGGTTTAAAATAGATAATATACAAGTTGTGTTATTGTTAAAAATAGTAGCGGATTATTAACTTTACGTAAATTGTGATAGTCGTTATGTTGAATTAAAATATTTTCAATATTTTTTCATAAATTTATAATGGTTTTTTACGTTTTTTAAACAATATATATATATATATATATATATATATATATAAACATTAGGGTGGTCCTTAATATGGACATTTTCAAATTTTCTTGCTCCCAAGGGCTCAAATGGTTCCAAATTGATAAAAAACAATTCTCTGAAAGTTTTAACTCTCAATATTAATTTTTAGATAATGCGCAATTCAATCAAATTTCGTATGGAAATAGCATGGAAAAAAATTTGCAAATTAAAAAAAAATTGTATGTATAACTTAGTGACAAATGAATTAAAAGTGAAAATTTGTGTCATTTTTTATTGAAAATTCGACGCTCTGCAAAACAGTTTTTTTATCATTTGTTTTGTAGAGCGTCGAATTTTGAATAAAACTCATTCATTTGTTCGCTAAATTATATTTAAAAAACATTTTTAAAATTTTTGAAAATTATTTCATGCTATTTCCATACAAAACTTTGATTGAATTGCGCTCTATCTAAAAGACAACATTAAGAACTAAAACTTTCAGAGTATTGTTTTTTATCAATTTGGAACCATTTGAACCCTTGGGAGCAAGGAAATTCGAAAATGTCCATATTAAGGACCACCCTAATATACATGTGTGTTAAGTTTTCTGTATAGTTATTATTAATTGTTTCATTGATTTAATTCTGAAATAAAAGCGAACACTATTTTTCAATTATTTCATTAAACGTTTCGAGAATATGGGATATTTTATTCTTCATGAACTATTGATAACAAATAAAAAAATACTTTTATACGTTTATTTAATTCTTTTAGATTAAAAAATAATCATTTTTTTAAATTAATTACTTGTGGGCGACATGAAAATAGAATTGTCTTGTGATCGGGGATTGCAAAGAATATCACGGTTCTAGATTTGTCAGATAAAACTTATGTACTATAATTTATAAGATTATAATTAATTAGTGAAAATAGTTTTTACTAAATATTGAAGATTTTCCAAATCAAACACTTAACAAATTCGAAAATATATCTAGAAAGTACGTCTTCAATCTATTGACTACGTTTTGATAATAAAATTTCCAATTTATTTACTTAATCGATCTTAGGTATGCTTAACAACCAAACGTATTTTTTATTCAGCTTTATCATTATTGCAATTATGTTTTTTTTATCACTCTAATTCGAAAAAAAACTCTATAATGTACAATTAGCAAAAGATAGTATTTTATTATCATTTAAAAGTTCAATTTTATTTTGACATCAATATTTGGTGTAAATTTCAATAATTATTACATCAGTAAAGTTTACTAAGTTTTTAAAAAAATATAGGAATCATAGAATTGTTTTGATTTGAGCCTAATAAAACCTTTATAATATAAATGTATTTGTCACATGAATTATTGCCCAATGCATATATTATCAAGTGCAGTATGTCATATTGATGCACATAGTCAAGACCGTTGAGGGATTCTAAAAGTGTTAAATAATTGATTGTACTAGCCGGGGCGCATGGCATCGTGCCTTAAGGCAAATTGCTGGAACTTCCGTACCCAAAAATTTTTTTTAAAAAAGATTAACATTTTTAAAAAATATTTACTCTGAAAAAAATAGAATTTTGAGAAACTATAAATTTTTGACAAAAATTTACTTTTTTTGAAAAAAGAAAGACTTTTTGTAGAAAAATTTATTTTGAAATATTTTTAAAATTCTGAACTTTTTTTCAAAGCAATCTTACTGCTTTAACTGCATATAGAAATATCGAAGCGCGTAAGCGCCGCGCTGCCGTCTAACGGATAAACATTGGAACGAAACCCATAGGAATGTAAACAAAATTTATACTTATTGTTAAAATCTCTATAAAATATCTGATAATTTGATGTGCATATGTCAAATGATCAATTTTGACCGCCAGATGGCATTTTTTTACTTTTTTACTAGATCTCCGAAACAGAAGACCTGCCTTCATGAAAATTTGATCAGTTTTTCATCTTGTTAATACAAGTGAAATGTTTTTTGAATTATTCAAATCGAACGTTTTGTTCTCTTAAAACTGAGTTACCGTTTTTGGCACTTTTTGCCTCATATCTTCAAAACGGCAAGACCTAATCAGCACGTTTCCTTATCAATACGAATCGAATGTTTTTTGAATGATCCAAGTCGCTTCATCCGTGTTCCCGAAATCGTTGACGAAAACTTGTATCCGAACACACACACGCGCGCACACACACACACACATACATACACATACATCCATTTTTTCTAAGGTATGCCAAAATATTCAGAAATCTCTGAAACGTAAAGATATATAAAATTTTTTATTTTCGATTTTTTTGCGATTACTATAACTTGCCTTACGGGAAGTTAATTAATTATCTTCAAATGGATAGTAACGTATCTTGTTATAATAAAAATATTATTTACACGCTATTTATATAACTTGATTTTTTTCGACGTTGATATTTGATATATGGAATTAGTAGCCATTCCTTGAATTGAAAAATTTAAAAATATTCTCACTTCTTTATTTGAACGTTTTGACACTTGATATGTTTTATCATGTGACTTTGATTTAAGAAATGGTGAGTTAGGCATCGTTATTTTATCAAAAACTTTGGATGTTAAAATGTAAATTTCTTTTTTATAATTGTAGATTTATTAATTAAAATTTTCAATTGAAAAAAAAATTAATTTTGTTTTCATTCTCCTTTGTTTGATTTCTTCAATTAGAACATAACGTTTAAATAGAGAAGTGAAAATATTTAATCATTTTTTAATTTGAAAAGAATTTCTTTTAGTAAAGTATTTAATTCATAACACTGTTTTATTTAACGTAAAACCATTTTCAACAAATTCTTCTGTTAAAAATTCCATTGAAAATTTTCTTTAAAAAAGTATTTTTAAGGTAATGCCTTTGATGAATGTAAAATATCTTACGAGAGTCAGAGAGAGAGGTTCAATTGTTTTGGCTTCTTGGTGAAAGATTTTTTAAACTTTTTACATGATGCATATGATCTAGTCACAAATTTTTAATTGTTTACTGCGACAACCACAAGTAATTTTTGATAAAAATGTAAATTGTAAATTTACTTTTGCGATAACTACAAGTATTTTTTTTAATTTGTTCAATAATTTCATCATATCTGTCTGTTTATTAAACGGTGTTTATAGCTAGATGCCTTTAAATTAATTTTGTTATATTAATAAATAGTAGTTTCTAATAATACAAGGGAGTAAACTAACAAACTATTTTCAAAGTAATTCAAAGTAGAGACGAAGTAAATATACATATATTCTTGAATTAATGTCGGATATGCAAAACGTAGAAATCGAATTTTATTATACGGATAGATTTTAATAAACTAATAACATTTTCAAAGTTGAAAAAATGAATACCACAAAGTTTTCATATTTTAAGTTGCAATAGGAAAAATGATTTTTTTTCATATTATTACGTTTTAAAGGTTTCTGAAAATCGTGGCATGCCTTAGAAAAATAGGATGTATGTATGTGTGAATGTATGTATTATAATTCAAATTTTTGTTGACGATTTCAAGAGCACGGATTAACCGATTTGAATGATTCAAAAAATAATCGTTTATAAGATCTATGTTTGAAGTTTACTTGTAATAGCTCAAGCAAATGTCCTCGGCATTTTCAACAGTTTAGATCAACCGAATTAAATAGGTTCCCAAATTTACAAAATCTTTTTTAAATTTTTTAAAAAAATTAAAATTTTCAAATTTTTTAAAAAGTCGATTTTTATTAAAATTCAAGTCTCTAAAAAATTTTTTTTTTTCAACATTCTATAGCTTTTAAAGGCCTTAAGGCACGGTGTCATGTACCATTTTTTTTTTCTAAAAAATTCATGAAATAATATCGAATGACTTCTTCAAATTAGCACATGCAGAACGTGTGTTCTTCGTATATTAGAAGACACGCGCCCTGCGATTGAGGAACCCATGTGCTAACGTTATGTTTTTCATAAACTATTACACTTATGAATATTGCTACAAAATGTGTATTCAAATATCTTTGCCAGTTCGGACGCAGCATCAGAATTTGAAGCACTAAGTTAATTAGACGCTAAAATTTTTTTTACATTTTTTTTTTATTAAAATTGTTTTTTATTTTTTATTTTAAATAAAAATATTTCAAACGTTCTAGAAAATTAATTGATACAATTTGTGAAAATTAATACAATTGTGGTTGAAAGTGAATTTTAAGAAAACTGTGATTTGTGAATTCATTGAAATTATTTTTAAGAAGGTGATTTGTTAAATATTTATCACATTGTTGCGCATCTGGTAATTATTTATCATACTGTGAAAAAATTATTTTTTCATAATAATTCACATTTTTCTAATAATAAATTAATTGAATTGAATCTAATATAAAATTAATTATTGATCTGGATTAAATATGTTTTTTGTATTTTACGAATTAAACAATTTTTGTGACGTTATATACAAATTTACTCAATTAAGAGTTGTTACTTTTCACACGTTATTAACTCAATTTAATTATCATTAGGTTAATGAACATTTGCAGAAGGCTATATTAAATTACAAAAAAGTAAATAAATAAATTATTGTTACATAACGGTTTTTGAATATAAACAACCGCAAATTTGAAGCTACATATTGCATCATCTTGAATATCAAAAATATAAAGGTTGATAGTCGAATTCAGTGACAAATCCACTTTAATCTGATCAAACCCTTATAGAAATAATAGTCAAATAATAAAAAAAATATTTTAAATGAAAATACTAAAATTAATAGCTTTTTTTAACTTTTTGAATAGTGAATTTTTGTGTTACTAGAACTTTCATATTTTTAATTTTAGTAAAAAAATATTTATTTTGAAAAAACTTTTGGTGTTAGGTACAAAACGTTCAAATTCAATTGAGATTTATAGTAATTATGTTGATTGAATAATATTTGCGGATAGAGATTCATTTTATTCTGAATGTTTTAATTCTATATATTAAGGCTAATGGTTTTCTTGAATAAAATATAAATCATGATTTCATAAATAATTTATTCATTTGTACATATGTTAAATTTTATTTTTGCACTAAAAGGTTGAATACCACTACAACGCGAGCCGACATGATTCATTTCATTCGTTTTATCAATATCGATAGAATAAATCTGTAGAAAGAAGCTGTAAAAATGTTAATCACATGGCAACAACGGTCAACCTATGACCGTTCAACTTTTGAAGCTTAATTAAATCTATGGAATTTTCGCTCGCGATTTTATCAATTATATGAACCCACATATTGAAGTATGACGAACTGGTTTATTTACAGAAGTGTAATATTTAATCAGAAAGATGCAAAAGATCACAAGAGCAAGTTTGAGTTGCAGAGCTATTGTTGGATTGCAGAAGAGATGTTTGGCACACTTGCAGCCTTCCTTGAAACCACAGCCTAATTTGAATGGTCTGCACGATCAAGATGATCCCAGCAAATGGATCAATATGGATATTATCAATCCAAATATTAAAAAAATGGAATATTTTATTAGAGATCCATTGGTTCTTCGAGCAAATGAAATTATCAGTGAACTAGAACAGGTTAGATTTTTTTGTAGTCATAAGACGACAAGTAATATTTTTGAATGTGATCTGCAAAACTATTCAATTATTCAAGTTTTCTTTACATTTTTGAAAAATCTATTACAAATTGGTCAAGTATATGGGGAAAATTATAACAAATTTATCATTGCATGTTTTTGTTGACATACATCGGAAATTTTGAAAATTGTCATGTTATGCTGTCAACATTTATTGCTAATCAGACAGATCTTTTTGCATCTGCAGCAAATTGAAATATCTTTCCGACGTCATAGAAGTTTTCATGCATAATATATATTAGTTTAAGATGTATAACCAATAATTAGACATTTATTCTTCAATAACTCCCTCGTCTGAATTTGAAGATTAATGAAAATTTTCTTATATAAAATATATTAAAGAAAATTAAAACTTAAAAGCTTGAAGCTTAAAATTTTTTGGCAACTTTGAAAAAATTATATTTTTGAGAATTTTTAAATTTGTGAAAAATATTGTCTTTTTAAAGAAAATTTTTTTTCTTGATTTTGATTTTTTTTTTAAATTTTGATCTATTATAATATTGAAGCGCGTAAGCGCCGTGTCGCTGTCTAACGGATAAACATTTGTACGGAACCCATAGAAATGTGAACAAAATTTGTACTAATTATTGTAATCTCTATAAACTCTATAAACTATCTGATAGTTTGATGTGCCTATGTCTAATGATCATTTTTGGCAGCTAAATGACATTTTTATTTATTTTTTTCACTCGATCTCCAAAACCGCTACGCCTGCCTTTACAAAAATTCAATCAGTTCTTCATTTTGTCAATACACTTTAAATTTTGTTTGAATTATTGAACTTTTAACCGAATTATTAAATAACGGTAGTCAATAATTTTCTGTTATTTAGTAATATCATTAAACTTGTAATTACTCATATAAGGCATGAAATCTAAATGGTTAAATCACTCACTTCTTTTGGTATGTGCAAATTTTATTTTCCGGCAGTATTTTGATACTCAAACCTAAAGTAAAAAGCTTTGTTACGACGTCTTTTTATACTTTTCATAAAACTGTTTTTTTTTATAATTAACTAAATTTTTGAAAATTTTGTTTTTATATATTAAAAAATTGTTACATTTCGCTTTTAACTATCAAAACTCATACATATATGGATATTAAACCGTACATTAACCAATATCATTGTCTTCTACTATGACCAATTATATTAATATTCAAATATGCTGCAAATTTATTAATATGAAAAAGTAAACAAGCAACTGGATAGTAGCAGAAAGAATTTTTTATATTATGTGTATAATTGTGACCGGTGAATTCATAGCGGTCTATAGACTCTTTATTTAATAATTTAAAGTTTTAAACAATTAATAGGGTAGGGCGGGGCACGAAGGTCCAATTTGATTAAACCTATTATATCACAACAAATAATACATATCTAACAAATAACTATCTAACTATGTTCAGTAAAAATCTCATGCATATGCATCGTAAAAATAGTTTTTTTTTAATGTTTTTCAAAAATGTGTAACCTTGGCGTTTTTACCCCATAGACGAGGTAAATTGGCACATCCAGGGGGCACACAGGTCCAATGTCTTATTTTAATTTTAAAGGGATTTTACAAAATAATAGCTGCATTATTCAGCCAATGCAAAATATAAATATCACAGCGATATCACTATATATAACCTTGATCTGGTATTTCGTCAGAAATAATCATCAGTAGAGTTGGAATAACAATTTATTTAATCTATCTCTCTAAAAATTGCTTCTGTTAACCCGATTTACTTTTTTATTTACTATTTTTTATTTTTTACACCTATGCTAGGGTAAAGATGCCCACCCAGGTGTTTGCTTTTATAAAGATTATATACAAGAAACTGTTGAATCTAACTTAAAATTAACAGTACATCTTATAAAACTTATAATTTTATTATTTATAAAAAATTATAAAAAGGTCTGGTAAACTAAACAACAGTACTCACGACCAAAAAAAATAACAACAGTAAAAATACTTTTGCTATGGATTTTCAATCATTTATCTCCAGTTAGCAATGTAGTAAGAATAAACTCTGGTTATACGTCTTTTTTTCCTCTTCTTGCTAATATCGTTGTTAAAAAATTCTTATTGTTAGTTTTACTGGATTTTGAGATATCGGTGGTGGACTTTTTTACCCGCAGACCTTCAATCCATGCTCTAACCTTTATAATAAACATAAAAAGTATACGCGAATGCATTCTCTATAACAATTGTGAGAATTTTGAATAAAATGAATAACTTTTTAGATATAATTTTGTCTGTACGTATTTGGGTGTTCATAATAATATAAAATGTGAATGAATACTCTGTAAAAAATCAAGAACAACAAAATTCTTAGATTTATCTTTATCGTTTAGTTTTTTTTTTATCATTCATCGCAGATCTGTTTTAAAAATGATGCAATTTATCAGTGTGCCTAATAATATTTAATCGGTGCCAAGTTGAATCACCTTTTATCGTAACATTAATAATGATCTTTTGCGATTTTATAAATTTCTATAGGAAACGCAGTTAATGTGTTAATGTGGATGAATACACGTCGCCACGTGTCGCTGATTTGTTATTTACATTTATTGTATTTACGCTTTGCAGCGCGTAGTGCGCGTAAAACTGAATTATTAAATTATAGAATAGATAGTTGCGCAGATGCAATATTAAAACTAACACAAAAAATTTACAACTGTAAATAGTAATTACAAACTAGTGGTGCGTGCCATCGTGTTTAAAGGCAAATTGCTGGAACTTTCCATACCGATAATTGAAAAGCTTTAAAATTTTTTGAGAATTTTATAAAAAATATTTTTTTTAATTTTGAATTTTATTTAACATTTTTGATAATTTTGAAATTTTTACAAAGCGATCGCGCTGCATAGCTGTTTTAGAGACGAAATACCTAATCGCGGTTAAACATAAGAACACGGAACCATATAAATGTTCCTCTCTGTCTTGAACTGGTACGAAAACCATATAAATGTAATCAAAATTTGTACATATTAATAAAATCGCTATAAAATATCTAATAATTTCATTTTTTTCAACTATTTTTATTAGCTATCCGAAACCGTCAAACCTGCCTTGCCAAAAATTTAATCAAATCAATGCAAGTAAAATGGTTTTTGAATCATTCAAATATGACGCTCCCGTTCTCTCAAAAACTGCCATTCTCTCAAGAATTGCCTTTTTTCGGATTTTTTGCCCTGTATCTTTGAAATGTCTGGACCTGCCTTTGACAAAACTAATCAGCACGTCTTCCCATCAGTAGGAATCGAATGTTTTTTAAAGTATACAAATCGGTTTATCCGTGCTCTCGAAATCGTGGACGAAAATTTGTATCCTGGCATATATACATACATCCATGCACGCACACATACATTGATTTATTCTTATAAACGGAACGTAAAGATTTGCAAAAATGTTCGTTTTCAATTTTTTTGCGATCATCATTACTTATATACAGAAAGGTAGTAATTCTTAACTTAAGGTTTTGCATGTCTCTACCTTTTAATGGTTTCTGGAACATTTTAACATGAATGATTCACAAAACATTCAATTCCTATTGATTTAAATTTTGAAAAAAAAAATGAAAATATTCGAAAATGTTATATAATCAAAGTTCTTGAACATTTTAAATTGCGGTACGGGAAGTTCCAGCAATTTGCATAAGATACTATGCAATGCACCACTAATTTAATGCAATTTTATACAGCGTCTACATTGCTATATATTCAATGATAGCTATCATTTGTAAAAAACTTATTATTTTTGCATACTTTTGGATAAACAATCTTTTGTCATATTCAGTTAATTTGACAGAAAAATACCTTAATTAATGTGAAACAGTACAATTTAATGTCATTAATCTTGTAGCATGATTAAATAATTACTGACTGGATATTGTGTTGAAAAATCATATGTTTCATGATACCCTTCAACACAATAACTTTTAATTCAACGTAGTAAATATTAATTTCAGCATTGCATTCAAGGCTAATCGTAGTAAACAATGATAAGCTACTTTAATAGTATTTGGCATTTGATTCGATTAAAATCTTTTTATCCACTCAAAATGAACACTCTTATAAATACTTTCAATATGAGAATCATAGAAATTGTAGTAAATTTTATATATTTATGTTATATAAAATAAGATTTACCAACTCATTTAACTTAGCACGACTGGCCCCAATCAGGGAAAGCTTCGCAAGTTCAAGAGAATAAATATATTCGCACACTTCGAATCATTCACATCATTTAATTATTGATATCCGATGGGTATTTTCAGAGGCTCATTTTTGACGGTATTTTCATTATTTTTGGTTTGTCCATGTTGATTACCATGTTATATCATATTTCTACTCTAACAATTCTGCAACAAATTTTGTAATTCGGTTCCTGTTTTTGATACTACGACGAGACCATCTGCATTCTTCATAATGGTGATTCTTTTCTCTCCAAACCCTCAATTATTACTCTGTTTCAAAATAGAAAATCTATATAATATATATTTATAAATAATTCCGTCAATTAGTTATATAATAAATATTAAAACTATATTTATACAAAGAAAGTATTCCTGGTCGTCACCAGTACATTGCTTTGTCCTCCATATGTACCCCAAATTGGATTCATTTACAACCAATTATCACTCTGTAAATCAACATTTGCTTCAATACTAATTTCATTACATAACTTTTGATCTTGTGCGTACTATTTGTTTTTGTATTATTCTGCGATTAGCAAGGATAAACATTTTACAATCGGGATGACTAAAAAATAAAACGTATTTTGCAAAATGCGTTTTCGCTTTATACAAACATAGCATTCATAGTATTTATTTTAGTTATAGTTGATAATAATTTTATGTATTTTTAGGGTGTTAAGAAACCATTCACAGAAGTTATTAAAGCACATATGGGTGATTGCCATGCTATGGGACAGAGACCAATCACATTTATAAGACAGGTATTATTTACCCAAATATTTAAAATTATTTAATTTGATAAAAAAATCAATATTTGTATTTTATGCAATGGTTTGTTTTCATAACTATTCGTTTTTTTAATAGATTGCATTTTTAATAAGTACATCCATATAATAATTATTGTTTATAATCTGCAAACGCAACCTTGATATTATGCGTCGATTATAAATTAAAGGTTTTTTTAAGTGGTTAATTACATTTGATATTTTTACTCTATTCAGAACTAATATAAATTTATAGTTTAGTATTTTAATAATTGAAACAAATAACCAATTTGAATATTTAATTACAAATTCAACTTATAAAAAACTGAGGTTCTTTAATAATAACTCTAATGACTCAACTTCTGATTATCATATGTTTTAATTTCATTGCTTATAAATTCAATTTAATATAAAACACACATTGAACACTTTATTTTATTTTGTCTTATACTCCTACAAGGAATATTATTTCAAAACATTGAAACTTGCTCCAGAAGTCACTTTTAAAATTGTGTTCAGAAATATTTTTAGTGCATGTTTTTAATGATAATATGAATAATGTTAATTAATGGTAGTTAATTCCAATGATTGATACATAATTCAACTTGATGCAATGCTAACTCTACTTTATGTTTCCTAATTATATAATTATGTAATAATAACAGTTTTTTTTTCTGAACGATAATAAGTGATTTCGACAAATCAATTACCTTTATTGAATTCTTACAATTGGTCTATTTCTAGTATTTACTCAATTTATAGAACATTATTGATTGAATGATGGTACCGGTGGTGAAAGATATTTGTACAGGGGTAAATCGTGTTTAAAACATCTACATAATTTGAATACATACATAAGGTGTTATTAACCTTAATAATAAAAAAATCTTAAAAATTACTTACCACTATGCAAGGTTTCTTACATTAAGTACTATATGTAATTTTATCATGAAATACGTTAAATTTTAACTAATTTAAAGTTAACGAATTGGTAAGGAACGTTTAGTTGCACACTGATAAGGCGTTATTTCATATAACTAGTCAATTTTCAATTATTTAATAAAGTAATGATCAGTATACTTTTAAGTGATAATATAATTTAAAGCTTAATTTGTAATTATTATATGCACTTGCTATAACCATTTTTTTATTTCAAATTTTTTCATTTGCCAAGTTTTAAAGTAATTATCAGTATACTTTTAAGTGATAATATAATTCAAAGCATAATTTGTAATTATTATATACACTTGCTATAATCAATTTTTTATTTAAAATTTTCATTTACCAATTTTCTCTTCCGTAAATTAAATCTTCATATAAGGTTATTTGTTGTATATAAAAAGATTTTCTGGTTTTGTATGGTTTTTGAAATTTCTTTAACAAGCACGAATCTTTTGAAAATTTCGGAACTATCAAGGACAAACATTCTGAATCCAAACATTAAGAGAATATTGCCTCTAGAAAACGCAAGATAGAAATCCTGAATGGTCAATCCGGGACATATGATCACCTATACGTATTTTATATACAGCTATAGTTGCCGCATACTTCTGTTAAATGCCAAATCCAAACTAGCTGTAAGTGGAATTCTGTCTTAAGGCAATTAAGGCATCGTGCCTTAAGGCAAATTGCTGGAACTTCCCGTACCAAAAATTATTATTTTTTTTAAAAACGATTAACACTTTTGAAAAAAATTTACTTCGAAAAAATAAGATTTTTAAGAAACTATAAATTGGACAAAAAATTACTTTTTTTTGAAAAAAAAAATTTTTTTTTTTAATTTTTTTTTTGAAAAAAAATGTTTTCTTTATTTTGACATATTTTGGAAGATCTAAACTTTTTCTCAAAGCAATCGTACTGCTTTAACTGCATAAAGACGAAATATCGAAGCGCGTAAGCGCCGCGTCGCCGTCTAACGCGTAAACATTGGTACGGAACCCATAGGAATGTAAACCAAATTTATACTTATTGTTTAAATCTCTATAAAATATCTGTTAATTTGATGTGCATATGTCTAATGATTATTTTTGACCGCCAAATGGCATTTTTTTTTCCTTTTTTTACTAGATCTCCGAAACCGCTAGACCTGCCTTCATAAAAATTTTATCAATTCTTCATCTTGTCAATATAAGTAAAATGTTTTTTGAATTATTAAAATCGGACGCTCCGTTCTCTTAAAAACTGAGTTACCGTTTTCTGCACCTTTTGCCCCGTATCTTTGGAACGGCTAGACCTGCCTTCGTCAAAAACTAATCAGCACGTCTCCTTATCAATACGAATCGAATGTTTTTTGAATTATTCAAATCGGTTGATCAGTGTTCCCGAAATCGTCGACGAAAATTTGTATCCGCACACGCACACACACACACACACACATACACACACACACACACATACATCCATTTTTTCTAAGGTATCCCAAAATATTCAGAAACCTTTGAAACGTGGAGAAATGCTAAAATTTTCATTTTCGATTTTTTTGCGATTACTATAACTTGCCCTACGGGAAGTTAATAAAATAATTATAATTTGAAAATGATGGGTCTAAAAATAACATCTGTACTATTTTTTACATCAATCAATAATGAAACATGTGTCTAATGATATCCTACTTTCAGGTATTGGCTTTAGTGGCTTATCCCGCTCTAATGGACATACCAGGAATTCCAGATGATGTCAAGGAAAGGGCTGACACAATTTTAAAAGGTTGCAAGGGATATTCAGTCGGTTCTTATTCTGAACCTACAGGACTAGCCGTCATACGACAACATATTGCTGATTACATTGAAAGAAGAGACGGAGGTGTACCATCTAGCCCCGATGACATAATGTTAACCAGCGGAGCTACTACAGCAATCACAGATCTGATGAATTTATTATCATGTATCGTGGATAACAAAAAACCAGGTAATGGTGATCAAGAAGGTGATTAAGATGTTATCAAATGTATCAAAATAAACTTAAGGATCTGGTGATTATATAATTCTATTTCTACACTATTAATGGAAGAACAATGATAAACGATCACTTAATAATGCCAGTTCAATTAATATCATTGACTACTAATAATAATTTTTTGTAGTCATTTACCATGCTACTTCTATTATGTTTCTTCCACATTTGGTAGAACTTCTCTTGATTTACCATACTATTGCTCTAAATTGCTGATTTCCATAATACCTCATTTTCTTATTGATAAAATAAATAGCAATCAAAATGCTATATGCTATTATAATAAGATTAAAATAAAGCTCATATTGTTCTTAAAAAAATCTATATAAATCACTCTAGTCAATAAATTTCTAATTAATGCTAAGGCAGGTCAATAGGCCATTGAGAAGTGGTCTTATTACCTTATTTGATAATCCTCAATTTTTTATATATAAGTACTGTTTCTGTCTTTTATTATTTTGTCTACGTAAGGTGTCTTTAAGTAATTATGAATTAAATTTGGAGACGTACCGATGTGCATCTGAAATATTTCCTAAATTATTTGCATCAAATTCTCTGCATCTCACTTCCATAAGTCCACACAAGCTTCAGATGGGATTTTTATATCAAAACTTTTAGTGAAAATTATCAAAGAATATATAATGTACTATTCTAAATATAATTAAATGTTTGTATGTAAATCCATAATTCTGGCACAATAAAAATGTATCAACACTTTATTCAAGCCTGTGTGGCTTGGGCAAAGCACATAAAAAAATAACTATGTAATTACTCCATATTCGTACATAACTATGTATAAATAAATAATAATCATGAATTAATGCAATAAAACCAGAATGCATGAAATAATTATGCTTTTTATAATTTGCCTTGTTTATTTATTTAAAGACAATAACGTACTTATTCAGAACGTATCTCTTATTAGGTTAGCTTGAATTAAACTTATGTCGAGTAGTTTATTTAATCAGTTGTTTTAATAATGAATACAGCAAACAAATCTAAGTAAATTAATAAACTATTTGTAAACATTATGACGTTGTTGATTATTGACGAATTATTTTTATATGATTTGTTAACTTTGAAACTAATTAAATTCAATATGAAATATTCTCACAGGTGTTATGGTACCTATTCCACAATTTTCTTTATACTCCGCCAACATAACCAAATTTAATATGGGACAAGTTGGGTATTACCTTAATGAGAGCAAAGACTGGGCACTGGACATGGATGATCTAAATAGAGCTGCTCGGGAAGCTAAACAAAATGATATTATTCCACGTGTTCTTGTGGTCATGAATCCTGGAAATCCGACTGGCCAAGTATTACACAGAGACAATATAGAAGACATAATCAGATTCGCTTACCAAGAGAAATTGCTCATTTTCGCGGATGAAGTATACCAGGATAATGTTTACGTTGAGGGCTGTAAATTCCACTCCTTTAAAAAGGTAAGGCAAATGTGAACTTGAAAGAGCACAAATTTATAATGAGTTTTGTATTTTCAAAAAATGACCATAAGTCAAAGCTAATAAACACAAAAAATATTGAATTAATACAATTTTCTCTCTAGCATAGGTATTTTACTGCAGAAATTTGTGGAAAAATGATTCTTTTAGAAGATTTTATATCCTAATATATCAGTATTTATTAAGAAGTTTTAATCTTTTATCAATAATTGATTCAATTATCGATTGTTCCATTTTTTGCTCACTACTTTAGTCAAACCTTATTGAAATTTGACTAACATAGGCATATTTTTGGAACACACGGGTCATATTATATACATGTTTTTTTTTAGGTTTTACGAGAAATGGGACCTCCCTTCGACCAAATGCCTCTCATATCTTTTATGTCAACTTCTAAAGGGTGGCACGGTGAATGTGGGTTGCGTGGTGGGTATATGGAGATGATAAACTTTGATCCAGACGTCAAAGGTACTTTCTTAAAAGATATGGCAACCGCTCTCTGTGCTTCTGTTCTTGGACAAGCAGCCATGGATGCCATCGTAAGTTGTAGTAATATGAAAGATATGACACTTTGAATTTTTATGACTTCTTAGAATATGTATAAAAAGAATCAGACATTGTTATTAGATAAAAATTAGTAGTACCACCTACTAATAGGATTTTATAAGAAATTGTGACTGCTATAATTTGTTTATTATAGTAATTTTACATGATCAGAGTAAATGTTAGATATCAAAGATTAAGAGCTATTTTTTGTATATCGGTGAAAAAAATTATTATACAATTTAAAATTTTTAAATCTGTATATTAATAAAATAAAATATAATAATTTATATTTTTTTTAAAGAAATTCGTGTCAAATAACCTAACGTCAAATAAAGTAACAAATATTTAACTAGTTAAAAGTGGCATTTAGACTTAAGGCAAGTTGCATTAACTTCTATGTAAGAATTTTGAATTTTTGATTTTTTTAAATTGATTCAGAATTGAGAGCTAAAACGTGGACGAAACGTTTTTCATTTTTCTGCTATTTACAAAGAAATGGCTCACCGATCTTCGCACAAAACTGACAAAAGATAATCCATATACATCAATAGGCTTTTAAATATTTAAATCGGTTCAGGCGGTTTCGAGCAAACGTCGATGAAAGTCCTAATTTTGACAAACGCCAAAAATGATACTAATTTTAGCAAACTTTGACGAATTTTTAAAATTAAACGACTTGTCGTAGGGTCGTAATATTTTAGTATGATCATAAGACTATGGTAGGTATTAACCGTAAAAAAATCATGAAAATCGTCGAAAAAAAATTTCCTTTGAAAAGTTAAAAATATTCATATATATTCTCCTTCGTTGAAACTTTGCTTTTCGAACACGATTTTCATACTTTTTTCCTACTACGCGGAGCCTAAATTGCGACAGGCCTCCGATAACACGGTACTCTCATAAGACGTTTAAGTTTAACAACCCATTTTTCTTCAGCGCGGCCTATGAATGACTCTAGTAATTAGATATTGTTGTAAAAGTTTTTAATATTGGTTTTATTATCGACTATTTTATTTTTCACAATATGTTCATATAAACATGTGAGTTTATAGCATAGCTGTGTACGATCAGGTTTGGTAATGTCAGAGATCTTTCACAGAACGATAGTATTTCTAAAGAAAAATCTAGTATTGTTTTGTGGAAAATAGGTTTTTAGTTATAAAATACTTATAACCTCTTTAATTCATTAAAAATAATTAATATTTTTTTCATCATATCCTTGAATAATCTTTTCAATTCGATGTAAAACATTTTATATTTTATATGAACTCTTCCATTCAATAAAAACAATTTGTGATTTATCAGATATTTTGCACGTATTGGTTTCCAATGCAAACTTTCCATATAATGCGGTACAGTTGCTGTGATTAGTACTAATCATGAGTTTCTTATAGCACGGTTCCCCTACAGTACGATTCTTACAATTAGAACATACTACGTACTTCCTTCCATATATATTTTAAGCGCTCACCGCGTTATTCGAGGGTAGATTGTATATGATAGCTATTCCCGTGCTTTTAGTTGCGGTTTTATTTTGAAAAAGCTAACAGTATTTTTCATTTTTGCGTCATTTGAGGGTGAATTGTATGTGATACCTATTTTTGTTGCAGTTTTATTTTAAAATTTTAACAGTTTTTTTTATTTTCTTGCAGATCAATCCTCCCAGGCCAGGAGAACCATCATATGAATTATTTATGAAAGAAAAACAGGAAGTCCTCGATTCATTGGCAGTCCGCGCCAAACTCGTGGCGGACGCCTTTAACAGCTTTGAAGGATTTTCCTGCAATGTTGTCCAAGGGGCCATGTATGCTTTTCCAACTATAAAAATTCCACCAAAAGCGATTGAAGCAGCTAAAAAGGCCGGACAGGCTCCTGATGTTTTCTACGCATTCGAACTTTTAGAAAAGACTGGAATTTTAATTGTGCCCGGAACTAGCTTTGGACAAAAGCCAGGAACTTACCACATGCGAACTACAATTTTGCCACAGACTGATAAATTGAAAGAGATGATGAACAAATTTGCAAATTTCCACAAAGATTTTGTGGCACAATACAGGTAAAAGATTATATTAATCTTAATTTTAAGCATACTACTTATTATTTTGGTTTGAATTAGTTTATAAATGTATAAGATTAACTCCATTAATTGCCCAAGAATAGCGGGCACGTGTTTTGCCATCTATCAAGAACATAGATGTGAATTTCTTCATTGTCTTATTCATTATAAGTAATTGACAAAATATCTCCTTTTATATAACATATTAAATAATTTCAGCTAAACTAATGTACCTGCAGCCATTGGCGAAACAACTCACGAAATTATAAGTATCTAATTGTAAGTGAAATCAACAAAATATCTGCGTATGATATATTTATTATTATTGTGCATCTGTGATCTATTAAACTATTTATAATTATATGATTTCTCGATCGAATACAATTTAAATTGTAAACAAAATATATGTACAATGAAATACAGCATTGATGTGATATGCATTTGAATTTTCAGTGCAACAGAAATTCATTTTTGCATCAATAATCTTTCATTTTAATATACTAAAACTAAATAAAAATACTGCTATCAGTGACTAATGATGAAAATATTGTTCAAAATATTATTATCTCTTAAAAAACTATTAAGCAGAAATTTTATTTTTTCGGTCAAAAATTAAAACTTTATAAGCGGTAAAATCGGATCTTTGGATATATATTGTACCAGTATGTATATATTCAGGCATGTTTTTTAATTAAATATTTAAAATGTCTGAATATGTTTGATTCTTCGAGACATTAATAAATTATAAAACAGAGCAATATGATTAAAAATTAATCCTTTTCACTCGTTAAATGCAGAATGCCGGGGCGGAAAGGTTTAATATATAGATTGAGTGCATATGTAATAATTATCGGCCTTTTTAATTCAATTGATTTTTATCGATTTGTAGAATATATCTGATATAATGTAGGTTTCGTACAAGCGTAAAAGATTTTTTTATTATTTAATTACTATGACGGGACGCATAAGTAATCCATTTTATTGCAGAATATTTTCATGTTTTTTTTTTTTAATTTAGTTAAATATGTTAAACATTTTCATCTTTTTAATCTAAAATTTATATATTAATTTAAAAAAGTTATTCAAAACAATAAAAATAATATTTTATTCAAATAATATTAGTTTACAAGATGACAAGTAGCAGCAATTTGCATTGAAGAACGAAACTACTTATCACTAATTATTGTGTTGTCTTACAAGTCTCATAATCGAGTTCTTCCGAACTATTTTAAAATTTCTATATACGTACTATAATAACAAATAGTAAATTTTATTAAATTTATCTGCATTATAAATTATATTTATCATACTAATTTTTTGCTCATATACTAATATGTACATTCACTTCATTCTTCTTATCTCAAATAATACTTTGAATATATTTTATGATATTAGATTTTTTTTGATAGTATCTTAATGTTGTTTTTATCGCAGTGTCTTCAGTTTGTATTCAGCTCTTCTACTAATGAAGGGTTCCTACGATTACTTTAATATACAGATTGCAGTTGATAATTTTGAATTTGAAAATCGCATATAGTCCCACACATCATAATATTTTAATTAGGAACTCATTTTACTCAAAGACTGAACGTCATGTACAACAAATGTGATTGTTTATTCAAAAAGTTTCTATTTATATTAATTATTTTATTGATCGAAGCATTGATATATTATAATAAATAATACAATATTTTTTTCAATAACAGCTTTCAGAACTTAACTAGTTTTATAAGCTGTTGTGCTGACTTCTGAAACGATAATGTTGATTTTTATAGATGGCAATCCAGCCGGTTATCCTATCTCTGTTTGATGAATTTATTATTACAATTTCTGTAAAATCTATACAGCAATGCCAGACAAGGGGTATTTTCAAATAGACCTTATATTACATGGACTGCTAGTCGAACGGGAAACATATGAGGACTAGCAGTCCATGTAGTGTAATGTCTATGGTATTTTCACTTGTAAACATATTGCCATTTTTATTTCCTAGTAAAAACAGATGTCACTACTGCTTGACATCAATCTTTCAAAGGCAGGAGCCTAATTTTTTTTTCAATGCTAAATTTCGATTCATTTACATTACAAACTATGCTTGTTGCATTTTACGATTTAACACTTTCCACTCGGGAGTCGGACTGCTAGTCGGTACGCTGCGCTCGGAATATTATTGTCTCATATCTCTCAACTCGGAATTTTTTTTTGTATCGGATTTTTTCAAAACGTGGTAATATTGGTTTCAAATATAGTTATTATGATAATAAAATAGAAAAATTTAAAAATTAAAAAAAATGCGCTCAAAACCATACTATATTGTTTAAAAAATAATTTCTTCTATTATAATGGCTTACAAAATAACAAATCCCGATAGACAAGGAAACAAAAATTAAATTTAATATGTTACCAAAATTATCACCATTATAATAAATATATAATATTTATAAAATAACATCTCCAGTAAAATTTATATATCAAAAAATTATGGGGTTCATGAGCTAATAAACTAATTTTGTTACATATTTATTTATAAAATGAATAAATTAATCAATAAATTAATGTAATAGTGAATTAATTTCAAAAGAATGAAAAAAAAATTAAATATTTTAAGTTTGCGACGAGACGATTTGCCGCCGGAGCGGCGGCACCCCAGCGGGACGGTAAAACGTACCATGCCGCCGGAGCGGCGACATCCGAGCGCAACGGTAAAATGACTATGCCGCCGGAGCGGCGGCATCCGAGTCGAAAGGGTTAATATAACTGCACAATTAGTTTATTAATATTATGTAAATATATTATAAATTATGTGACAGACTCGTAGTTAGATCGACGGAATCTGAATCAGAGGTCTCAAGGGTTCGATCCCGCTTTGAGTAGCCTGATGTCAAACAGTAGTGACATTGGTTTTCATTTGTTATGTAGATAGCAATATGTTTCTTGGTGCATCATACCCGGCATTGCTGCATCGATAAAAATGCACCTCTACTACAAAAATTGTAATCATAAAATTGATTACATAAAGATCGGACAAGTCGGGTTGCCATCTAGAATAGACCGGCGCAGTTAGTCAATAATTCATCACAATAGCTCATAGAACTCTTAAGTTCTGACCATTGTTCAACACAAAAAAATAAAATAAAGTCGTGCATGGCATCGTGTCTTAAAAATTGCTGGAACTTTCCGTACGTTAATGAAATATGTTGGAGAAATATTAAATGTTTTCATATAGATTATTATAAATACTGTAACATTGTCAATACACAATAAACAATATATATAAGAGTTATCCAAACTGAATTACAAAGTTAAAATTATTTATTTAAAGTATATAAGTGAGCTTTAGAACTCTAGCCAAATTTCAAATCAGATGCTTAGTTTTCTCAAAAACTGCTATTTTCAGCACATTTAGCTTGTTAACTCCGAAACTGCTAGACCTGCCTTTGCCCAAATGTAAATCAGCACTTCTCCCCGTCATTATGAATTGAATGTTTTTTAGATCATCCAAATCGGTTGATCCGATCTCCTAAAAACTGACATTTTTAGCACTTTTTGCTCCATATCTCCAAAGAAGCTGGACCTGTCTTCTTCAAAAACTAATCAGCACATCTACCTACCAATAGGAATCGATTGAATTTTTCAAATCGGTCTATCTGTACGCCCGAAATCGTCGACGAAAATTGAATTATCTCCACACATACACACACATCCATTTTTTCTGAGATATGCCAAAATGTTCGGAAACCTTTGAAACGTAAAGATATATATATTTGAAAATCATTTTCGATTTTTTTGCGAATACTATAACTTACCGTACGGGAAGTTAACAAGTACCTAATGTATATAAATAGTCAGCACCCGTCATTAAGTTATTGAGAAATTTTAGAAATCGTGGTTATTTTAATCGAAAAGTATTTGCACACTATTTTATTTGCCGCAAATCGTTATATATTTGCAATACAATTGTATCCAGTATTTGAATGTGTTTCTAATTCCTCTGTCTATCGACTTTCATTGTTTGCTTTGAGAAATATATTGTTGTTAAATTAAATTCAATGCATCATGTCGAAAATATATTAATCTGGATTTACATCTATTTTTGCGTCCACGATTTTTTAATCCGATCTGCTGCAAACTTTGTTTGAAGGGCATTCTAATCATTGCAAACATTTATTCAAATACGCACAAGTTGTTTTGCAAAGTGCGAACAGTATTGTTCCGTGTATTGCCAGTAGTCTAATACAATGAATTAGAAAATTGCCTTTATTGAGTTGAACTCGGTTGCTTTAATCGTCTGATTTTGTGACCAAAATGTTCTCGACCAGAAATGATTTGGCGAAATTCAGTTGCGAGTGCAGTGGACGAAATAAGATTATAAATGTGATGTGCTCAACTAGCTTGTATGATATAGATAAACATTTTATAAAATAGAACAAGAAAGCATTTTTTAATTCATAGGATATAATAATTGTTACACAAATTGTTATTATTGTGCAAATACTCAATCAGCTATCTCATTGGTATTAGTGCTTTTTTGATAAAAGTGATTTGTTTTAATAATGAGTGGTAAGACAAAATTTGCAAATATAAACATGATAAATTATGACGGTGCACTCAAAATATCTTAATGATTACATATTTAAATTTATTGCATGTTTCTCATGAACTTATAACTTTGATATCAGCGGATTAAGTCATTATTGATAATACGGGTTCTTGAATTGCGCACGCTGAAAATGAAACTATTATTTCGTAGTTCGTTTAACTTGAACTTGATAAAAAAATCTGGATCGAACTAGATTTTAATTTTCATATTAGATCAGGTTCACTTTTAATATATTTTTATAAGTTTATGCTAAAAGACTGAATGCCAGAATGATTCATTTTTATTTCCGTATTGTTTTATATGTAAAATTAGTTTGCAGTTTCAGATATCTAAAAATCAATATAACACAATTATAATAATTATGAATCATGTATGATTCTAACATTAGCAGAATGCAGTTCTGA